GGTTCTCCTGACAATGTAGTGATTAAATCGTTACTCTTCTGTGAGGAACTGGAGAATTGAGGACAGAGTATGCTATCTGTAATGATGACTTATGTGTTATAAAAGCAGAATAAATTGGCACATGGCTCGGAGCCACTCACCTTTCTATGTTTGGAGTTGAGCAAGCCATGAATTAGGACCATTAACCGCCTTTGCTTTAATCGTGGACTTCCAAGAATGGGTAGGACTTCCCTTGGCTAACTAAGATGAGCTGGGGTTTGCTGTTTGATTTCTAGTGACAGAATGGTCTGCTGCAGAAGTTCAATTTAATGTAAAATGAACCACTTGTCAGATTGTGGGACAAGTGAGTAATGCACCAGAATGGATAGGGGCTGTGAGAACTAGCTAGCCCTCCCACCACACTTCTTAGTCCTCTCAGAAGGCAGTTTACTGAGTTCAAACCCTGAGCTAGCATTCTCTTGCCTGCAACAGCATTCAACATTAGAGGTCTAGGATTCCCCCTTTCTCCCTCTGTCCCAGCAGGAACCCACAGCAAAACTAGCACTAGTTCTGCCTCAGGCAGAGGACACAGAGGGCTATGCTTGGCAATGGTCTCTTTTGGGCTCCCAATCATCACTGCTGAGAGAGCAGAGTCACAAGTCACTATTTTTCACTTTCCAAAGGCTGATAATTCCAAGACCTTAGGAGTCCTAGATGTAGTAAGTGGCATTTTTAGAGGTTATTTGTAGGAAGCCCCCACCGTAATCTCGTTGTTAGATCACTGGTGCCCGAGGTTAGGGTTAGTTAGTGCCTCACTTTTGTTTATGGACTATGAGAAGAGAATAAACCAGGGCTTCACCAAAAGACTCACAGAATAAGCAAAGAGAAATTACGAATTCCTGATCATTTCGTCTCTTGTTTTTCCTTTTAGTGTTGGGGACTGAAGCAGGAAGGCTGAAATGTTTAGACATCACACAGCACACAGAGCAAGTTAGGGTTAGGGGAAAACATGGACGGAATAGATTGCATGAAAATTTTTAACTAAAAAGTTGTTAAAAAGAAAAAGAGAGAGAAGCTGGGTGTAATGGCTACGTTTGTCAACCTGACAGGATCTAGAATTTCCTAGAAGACAGGCCTCTGAGGTATTACCTAGCTTAGCTTAGCTTTGGTGGCAAGAGTCACCTCAACTGTGGACAGCACCAATTCCATGACAGGGAATCCTGGACTGAACTGAATGCAGACAGAAGGCTGCACACCACCAGTCTCGGCTCTCCACTTCCTGCCTGTGGGCACCAGCTCACAGCAGCCTGGGGTACTGCAGTTCCACCTTGCCACTGTGACCACTTCTCCTGGGGCTGAAAGCCAAAGCAAACCCTCTTCCTCAGGTATTTCATTGCAGCAGCAATCCCGGAGTGCACACCTGTGATCCCAGTGCTCAAGAGGCCAAGGCCAAAAGACCAAAAGTCATAGTCTAACCTAGACCTTGTTGCACACATTAAAAAGACTGCAAGAGTTAAGAAGCAATAAGACACCTAACTGAACATACAGACTCTGCCCCATTAATGCCTGAGAGACTTAACACGCCTTCCCCAAGGGCCACATCAGAATCCCTATTTCCAGATGAGAGGAAACTCTGAGCTTTCTATTTTCCCAAGGAATTCTTCAATGAAGATGAAACCAAAGCCAAGAGAAGGGGGGTGGGGTGGGGTGGAGGGGAGTGGGGTGGGGGTGTGTGTCCCGAGAAACACGTGCCTGCTTGACCAAAGACTGGGGGTTTCAGAAAATAAGGCACCTGATAGCTGAGCCAGGGCTCTGCTCACAAGGGTAAGCTTCACATTCTATAACAATGAAGGAGTCATTTATGAACATTTAGCCGAGAAAAGAAAACCTTGGAAATATGCTTTCACTTATTACTCACAGGCTCTCAATAAATAAGCTCTCAAGTAATGCGAATATAATAACGAGGACATCATTCTAAAATAAACATGGCAAGCTTTGCTGAGCTTAAGGGTCGTTTAAAATGCTTCCACAGCATCTAAGTTGCCTTTTGAAAGTTCTAAAACAAGCAAGCAAAGCAACAGCCTTAAGAACGCAGAGACCTGATGACTTTCATAACACCAAATCCAAGAATCTTTTCCACATCAGCCAGACAATTGGCCGAACAGTTCCATTTGAATGCTTTCAGGGACAAAGCATACTTTTTAAGAAGTGTGGGTCACTTCCACTTCAATCACACAGCTTACTGACAGGGCTATTAGCTAAGTCTGACAGTGTCCCCCAAACTATGTGTCCAGGGAACAGAGTCCTAACATGCAGAAGTGTTAGAGGTGTATGTGATGGGAAAGGTTTAGGTCATGAGATTCCAATTTTACATTCGGGTTTAGCCCATTGAAAGGGCTCAAGGCTAGGAGTTTGACTGCGTGGTCTACACTACCATGTGACAGTGTGTGTCACATGATCACAATAAGAAAACCCTCACTGGATGTGGTTTTCCTTGATTTCTGACTTCCAGTCTCCAAAAGCTGCTAGCTGTTTACTACAAATCCCCCAGTTAATGGTACTTTGCTGGGGAACACAAAACAAGGAAGAGAAACCTAAATCAGCTTCTCTGTGAACTTGTATACATCAGAACCAAGTTTGCTCCCCAGAAAATACTGGATTAGTCCAGTTTCTTTATCTTTCATGGTCAGCTTTGACATTAGTGGTGGGCCTAGTGTGTGCAGACCACAGGTCAACACGGGGTAACTTCCTCAATTGCTCACTACCTTATTTTTCTGAGGCAGGGTACCTAATTGAACCTGGGGCTCATAGATTCAGCTCTACTGGTTGCCAGTGAGCCCCCGAGATCCTCCACTTTGGGCTGCTTATGAGTGCGGGGAATTTGCACTCATGGCCTCTTGTTTGTGAAGCAAGTACCTTACCAACTGAGTTGTCTCCCCAGCCCCACCATTCCCCACTTATTTTCACTTAAAAAAAAATACTTGTATGATGTTTTGCAGGCATGTATGTTTGTGCACCATGTGTATGTTGTACCTGTGGAGGCCAGAAGAGGGCATGAACTTTCTTTGGAATTTGAGTTACAGACAATAGTGAGCTGCTGTGTGGGTGCTGGGAATTGAACCCAGGTCCTTTCAAAGAGCAGCCAGTGTTCTTAACTGCTGAGCCATTTCTCCTGCTCCCAAATAGTTAGATATAGAGTATTAATCATTTAAGCGCCTCTCAATCCAGCAAAGTTCCAGACACCGTATTGGTTCCTGGGAGTACAAAGAGGAATGGTGATGTGGGATGTCCTTCTGTATGCTGCGAATATGTGTTGCCTTTATTGGTTGGTGAATAAAGCTGCTTTGGCCTATGGCAGGGCAGAATGTAGCTAGGTGGAAAATCCAAACAGAAATAGAGAGAGAAAGAAGATGGAGTCAAGGAGATGCCAGCAGTTGATGGAAGAGTAAGATCCCAGAGCATTACTGGTAAGCCACAGGCCATGTGGTGATACACAGATTAATAAAATTAATAATTAATAAAAAGAGCTAGTCAGTAATAAGCCTGAGCCATCATCCAAATAATTATAATTAATAAAGTCTCTGAGTGATTATTTTATAAGTTGCTGCAGGACCAGGTGGGACTCAGAAAAGCCTTCTGGCTACAGAATGTAACATACTAGAAAAACTTAAAGCACAGAACAGAAATACATGGGGAGATAACCTCAGACAAGGTTAACCCCAGCAAGGTTATAACAGCCATATCTAAATCAGGTTAGGGAAAAAGAAGCTACTATGGTGAAAACTGTAGGAAACACAGTATTGGGCATCATGCTAAGACAAAAAGTTCGAATTCGAATTCCCAAACTAAATATTCATCATAAATTATTAAACAATGGTCCAATCCAATCTGAACTAAATCTGATAAGTCTTAATGAGGACCTGCAGAGGAAACATCACTAAGCAGTTAAGCAATACATATTTCTAATTAAAAATTATTCCACAACAAATCTTAAAATCACTTGCACTGCAAAAATTCCCAAGGGATTTGGTTAGTGTTCCTGGTTTCTGGAGTGAAGTATGAAGTCACTGTTTTGTGGACATTTAAAGCATCAAAGGGTGGACATTCAGAATTCCAAAACAACTCACTGATGGGACCCCCCACACACCTATACCAAAATACTCACTAAAGGTACAGTTTAGTTGAGTGAAATGGCTTAGCTCTTAAGCTATCATCTTTCAGTTATTTAAAACTATTAGATGTAAGAAAATGATTAAAATTTCTTGTGAGCACACAATCTTGTGCAAGATCCAAAGTGCACGTCACTTCCTCGTGTGTTTTCTATGACTCTGACAGTATTTATTTAGCATTCTAGCTAATGGTAAAAAGAAACAAAGACACAGCTCAGCTCTCTGCAATCTCTTTACAATATGTACATACAATTCTCATACTTTGGAGTTAAATGTTTAATACATTCGGTCAACTGTCTATGATTAACAGTGATTTTCATTTCTACACAGTTCTCATAATTAGGATAAGTTGTATAACCAGTTTTTAGTAGGAACCAGGGGAAAGATAAACTTGAGGATGCCTGTTGCCCTTAGATGTGCTACAAGTCACCTGGTCATTTTTAACTTCTTAGCTGTAAGGGGACATTGGGCATACCTGACTGACTGTTCACATGGTCCATGGGACACTATTCCCACTATAGAAGTATCTGTCAGTGGGAGTGTCTGAGGGGGTGAAAGCAGAGGGAAAATAATTCAGAATCACTTTGGGAGCATTTCCCAGCTGCACCCTCTCACTACCACAACCAGGGAAGGCCTAGAAGACTGTGATCCAGGTTTAGCTAGAGCTGAAGTTAGAGGCAGATCTACCCGTGCTACTTAAAAGGATCTAAGGAATATTAGGAGGCAACTAAAGGGAGCTTCTGAAGATGGTTTCATCTACAGAGATTCAGTGTCCCTGAAGGAAGGCAAGGAACCAGGGAAACAACTATTTCCATTACCTGTATGCATACGTGATCCATTCTCAATGCTTACCTCCAATATTCTGAATTATTATTGTGCCTGCCACCACCACCTAAAAAAGAACAGATGTATTCAGAAGATAAAAGGGGAAATAGTAGGAAGGGACAGAATTTTATTAAAATTAACAACCAATACCACAGATGCACAACTCATGACTGAAGACAATGAAAAGAATAAATTTTGTATGCTGTTTGTACTACACAAAATTAATAAATATCACATAAAAAGTCTTTCCTCAATACCTCTATAGTTACTATAAAGATATTTCTGAAGTTTTTCTTAGCAGTCATGCTTGAATAGCTAAGAAGTGTTAAAAAGCTAGTAAGTGGTGATTATCAATGTCTAATAAACTGACATTGACTCTGGGAAGTCCTGCGGTCCCTTTCTTACTGGCTTTACCATTGCTTTAGTAGCTATCCCAAAACAGAATGGAGTGTGCTGTGTCAACACTATAGTACCTAAAGGGAAAGGATGACCTCTGACACCAGCTTGGCACGGACCTGGTATTTGGGCATGCTACTCTCAAAGGTTACACAGCCTGCAGCAGAAAACTCTAGGGCACAATGACCAGATCTGGAAAACTTAGACAAATGTGCAATGAGCTAAGTCTAAAATAGCAGGTGGTGGCAAGGACTACGGTAACCTGGACCCTATTCCTCAGGAGCAGCTCCTTTCCAGTCAGTCTGGCTAGTCAATGGCATGGGAAAAAGTGGACCCAAAGTAGCCAGATCAGCTAGTATTTAGTAAGTCAGAAGCTGAATTTCACACTTTCAAGAGTATAAAAGTTGACAACTGGCTAAAAACAAAAAAGGTCTGAGGTATACAAAAAAATACCCAAGGACTATATCCAGTCTGTTTCTGGTCTTGGATGAGACTCCTGGGGAACTCAAAGTAAATGTTTAAATATTATTATTCTCTCTTGGGCCTCCTGACCACTAAACACCTGGGCTGTAACCACCAGCAGACATTTGGAGCTGACTAGCTACCTGTATCATTCAGGCCTCCATAGACTAAGGATAGGTCACAGTTGAGTCTCACCTCTACTGGGAATTTCTCCTGGGGCGGAGCACTGCCTATCCCATAATTACCTAGCTTACTGGACCTCGAGTCCTTGCAGATACAGAGGAAGCCTAATGATCTGGAAATCTGGCAAGGTCTCTAGAGATGCAGGTGTGCTGGATAGTTTCATGTCAACTTGACACACAAGCTAAAGTCATCTGAGTGGAAGGAACCTCAATTAAAAAAAAAATGTCTCCATAAGATATGGCTGTAGGCAAACCTGTAGGGCATTTTCTTAAGTAAAGATTGATGTGGGAGGACCCAGCCCACCGTGGGTGTTGCCATCCCCAGGCTGGTAGTCCTGAGTTCTATATGAAAACAGGCTGAGCAAGCCATAAGGAGCAATCTAGTAAGCAGCACCTCTCCATGGCCTCTGCATCAGCTCTTGCTTCCATGTTCTTGCCCTGTTTGAGTTCTTCCACTGATGTCCCCCAACAGTGATGGATTGCTCCCTGGAAGTATAAGCTGAATAAACCCTTTCCTTCCCAGGTTGCTTTTGTTTGTGGTGTTTCATCACAGCAATAGTAACTAACTAAGACAGTGGTCATTGCTGTAGAATAATCCTTCCACTGTGAATATGTATTACTCTCATTGGTTAATAAAGAGCTGATTGGCCTGTAGTCAGGTAGGACGTATAGGCAGGCAGGAGAGCCAAACTGTGAATGCTGGAAGAAGGGCAGAGTCTGGAGATGCCAGCCAGCCACCGAGGAAGCAGGATATGTAGAAAAGCCATGACCCCACATGGCAAAGCACAGATAAAAAATAAGGGCTAATTTAAATGTAAGAGTAGTATCAAGCTTGAGCTATTGGCTGAGCATTTATAAATAATTAAGCCTCTGTGTTGGTTATTTGGGAAACAGCTGCCTGGACAGGAAAATGCTGACTACAGGTCATGGCAACTCTGATGTTTTTCTAGAAGGCAGTTTGCCTTCATCTTAAATACGAGTTTCTGAAATCCAGCCATTTGTGGGAAGACCATTCTGACTTTGTGTATACCACCTTCAATGCAAATGAAACCCACTGACCACACACATGAAACACTTCTATTTTCTATGAGTGTACTGCAAATATACTATCTTAGCACTAACTCCTTCTCTAATTTTAGGTATTTAATGTTTAGAAAGCCAGAATGAATATCTGCCTATCCATATTTTCTGTGCCTACTACAGTGCATCGCCATAGCACTGCTCAATACATACTCAGCTGATAAATACACAAATTTAAAGATAATTTTTAAGATTGTCCTTAAAATTTTTCAAAATATTTCTTCGATTCTCAGAGCAGTATTATCCAATCTCACATCAAGAAAATGGGAAGATTTCAGACTAATTATAGAAATGGGGGAAGAAATACAAACAAAATCTAGTTAAGTCCTCACTCTGGACATGTTCTGTCCAGCACAGCTGCCTCCTAGGAATGGGGACACATGTAAACAATGGTGCAACAGCTCACACTCAGGAAAGAGAGTCCATAGCCCTCGATCTTTGAGATGGTTCTGCTGTGCAGCGATGAGGGAACTGTAACTCGGTGGTGGTGCCAGTGGTAAATAAATATGAACAGCCCTTGAGACACCGAAACAGAAGAAAAGTAACTTAACTGTAACACTACCAACAATACTTAAGACCTGGTGATCTGTAGGAAAAACATTTCCCTACAACTTTAAAGCTAGAAAGCCACTGAAAACTAGTGCCAATAAAAATTTGTTTCATTTTTATTATTCCAAGAAGGAGACCCAGTATGTGTAGCGTCTACAGTCCTCAGATGTTGGGTAACAGTTGGTAACAGGTCGCTTAACATTTTGGGTCTAACTTTTCTCACATGTAAACAAGGGGATCACTAGGCAATCTTTCAGCACTGTTCAGCTCTTAAATAATATGACCCATCTAATTGCTGCTTTTGAAAACAGCCAGGGTATGATTCTAATTCTATATCGTTTCCTTCCCTCTTAAGAATTTACTCAGAGGATCTGATCAAAATTAATGAGGAAAACTTAAGAGTCCCATTACTTCTGCAGCTCATCAAGTCAGCAACAAGATTTAAAAACTGAACTGGTTTACAGATGTGCTTCGGAAGGGGTGCACATTTCTCTTTACTTTCCTGTCCCACTGTTCTTTCTCTTATTTCATTTATTCTTCATCTCTTAAGGTCTTTCTTATATATATGGCTTTTTGAACTTGAAGGAAAAGAGAATGCCCCATGAGGAGAAAATGAAATTACCTTTCCAGGTAATCCAAATGCAAAGAGTCCAAGATCTTCGTAAGAGGTCACTGCTGTTAGGAGAACGTACAATTGTTACTTTTACACAAAATTATTTATGAAGGTTATTTTACTCTTACAAGCTAGGCACAGTCAGCTTCAGCCGGCAGGGATTAGCTGTGGCATGGAGCCACCACACCCTGGGATATGAGTAAAGGCAGAAAAGGCGGCCCGATCATTTGGCTGGTTCCCAGGGCTTGGAGTTTTCATTCTGAAATCTTTTTAATTCCCACTCCAAATGTAACCCACGTGCCTCATATTTAGATGTTTTGTAGGATGTGCCTCTGAACAGGTAGTGATGGGTTTTCCTATCTTTAAAAAAACAAAACAAATCACCCAGGGGGCTGTGGAGATGGTTCAGTGGTTAAAAGCTCCAGGTTGATTCCCAGCACCCACATGCAGCTCACAACTGTCTATAACTCCAGGTTCCGGGGATCTGATGGCCTCTTCTGGCCTCTGAGGGCACAGGGATGCACATGGGGCACAGACACACAGAGAGGCAAAACACTCATGCACATAACTTTTTTTAAGATCAAAAACTTCACCAAGGACTCCTTTTATTATGGCTCTCTAGTACAGCCCATGTTCTGATTTTGTTTCTCAAATGCACATATTAATGGTTACTGTCCATTTCTACTAGGTTTCTAATTACTGTAAGATAACCAATATCAGCATGCTAATATTGGTATTCAGCTAACTGACATTTTTCTACCTATCTGACAGCTCTTGTCTATGGAGGCCGTCAAAGGTAGATCTGTGTTTCTCTTGAATATTCTGAAATACCAAAAGCAGCAAAACAAAAAGAAACAAACAAAAAAACCCCAAACAACCAACCAAGCAAACAAAAACATGCAATATTATTTCTGAGATCTAGTAGCTGCGGTCTACCCACCTGACTATCAGTGATAGATGGCTAAACTTAAAGAAGTACTGACTTTTGGGAAAACCTTTACAGATGGCTGCTTTGTAGAGCTGGAGTCTACCTACAGTAGGCAGACGTTAGCAAATCCAGCCTACTCAGCCTATGTTAATTCAATGGCTCGATTTCCTGAGAACACCCCGCTTCCCTCCACAGGACACGTGTACTTGCATACATACTATCCAAATAGAAATTTTCACTGGTAAGAATTTCTAAACATTGCACACATAGTAAGATGAGATACGACATCTGCACCATTTGCCTTCCCAAGTGCTTAGAGTGATGATAAATGTGTTCACAACAGAAACAGTACCTTCATCCTATAATTAGGGAGGGGCACATACTTTCTTTTTACATCATAAAAATGTTAAATTACATTCTCATTTCATTATGTTCAAGAAGTACGGCCATTAAGAACATATGGGAATTAAAGGTCTTGTAAAAGAGCCACATTATGCTCTTGGCCTGCAGGGCTTTGTGTTATAGCCAGCAATGCTGCTGTATATGAAGCTCTACAGCTGAGAAGTGCACACGCCTACAGTGCTCACACTGACCAGAAGCATGCTGGGAGACACCGCGGCTTGGGACAGCAATAGTTCTGAGAAGTGCACATGCCCACAGTGCTCACACTGACCAGAAGCATGCTGGGAGACACCAAGGCTTGGGACAGCAATAGTTTCTGCTGGTTACAAATGTTGCTCATTATTTCAAACCAGTTCTTACAAATCTCTTAGGACACACTTGGGCTTTCTTTCAACTGCCACTTGATAACAAAAACAGAAACAAAACAAAACAAAACAAAAAAAACCTTTTTTGGTATTTTCATAATGAAGGACATTTAGGTACATAAAAATAAGCTTTTTAAAAAACACAGGTGGTTTTGCATACAGTAACTATGGAACCAGGAAGAAAACAGTGGGATACTAAATAAGTTATTAATAATTAATAAAATCTTCATTTTCGTCTATTATCAAAGTTCATTGAGGGATTTGGGTATTATTTGAGTGATCTATTTATTTTTAAAAATGCATTTACATTCTGCTAAACACAGCACACACGTACAATTTAGTATTGCATTTGGAAGACATATTTTTATTATGGGTAGACCATGTATGAAGGTCACAAGGGCTCAAGGAAGCCCCAACACTCATGCTCAGGTGTGTCTTGTTTCACAACAGCCTCTTTCTCTCAACCCTTGTGCTTAAACTCTGTATTTAAAATGTCATTTTATAAACTCTAACTCTGATTCACACTGGCTTGTACAGAAACTCTTCTCTGTGAAGAGGCCAAGGATCCAGTTTTCCCTGTGGTGTGGTCCCTAAAACACCAAGAATACTGAGGGTGACAGCCCCTGCTGCTGGCAGGGTTACCACAACCCACACACCATTACTCTAGACTTCCACTATTGCTTAAGAAAAACATTTCTGTGTTGTCAGTTGGTTGTTTGGTTTTTTTGTCACTTTATACAAATTACCCAACCTAAATGCCTTACTATTTGAAAAAATAAATTCCTGGTTTTCCAATAATAAATATCTTCCTCAAACTCTCCTGGACTTTTTCCCTTTAGTTACTTTCTATTCAGAGGTAATGGTAACTCATAAGCAAATGCTATTCAAATGCTTTCTCAGTGATTTCCACATTTCTGTCTGTATTAGATAGAGCTTGTGAGTTTAACTGGCATATTCAATTAACTCATCAACATTCCAGAAATATGTACACACTAGCATTTATGTAAATTTAAGCTGAAGTAGATATAGTTCAACAGAATAATCACAGTGATGCACACAATGAGATAAATTTACAGACAGATGCATGATGATGTGGACAGCACAGCTCCATTTTTACAACTCTGGCATTCTTGTGATAACAAACATTTTGAAGTGCATTATTTCAAAGTTTTCTCTATTCTAAGATGATTTCCACTTAGATTCCCTTTCATATTTTCTAGGCTATAATTAATCTTTCCTTAGGGCTAAGTTCTTCTGGAACCAAAATTCTCTTCTCATAAAATAGTTTAACATCTCATTAATTCCCTTACAATATCATAGATTATGTGTCAAGGGCATATATACTTGTTAATTTGAACAGATCTAATATGGCAACTGAAAATCACATCAGACCGTGTTTTAAAATGAAAATAATTATAATTTAGGTGGTGTTAAAAAAAGAGAAAAAGAAAAACATTTCTTCCAAGAACTTCAAGCAAAGAAGTTTTCCAGTGTTACACATGGGACTACATTAAATATTGCTTTTCATATTACTATTTTGTATCTGTTTCTCAGTAATGTAAGCAAAGATGACATTCATTAAAAAGTTAGACAATGGGTGTTTAATTTTTGTTTGCTTCATTTCTGTGTTGGGTATTGGATCCAAGCCCTTCACATGCTCTAGCGCTGAGTTACATTCCAGTCTTGTTTTATATTTAAATAGTGGGAAGTACAGATTGACTGCATATCTAGTACACAGGAAAAGCAAATACCTATTAGTTAAAAAAATTCACATTGAAAAAAATCTAAAGGAAACTGGTATTTCAATCCTAATTTAAACAGTAAGCTCTTATTCTACATTTTAAAAGTTAAAATTCAACCCTTGTTTGTGCCAAGAAACACAGAAAACCTAACAGCTTAATGAAGACAGTTTTAGCTGTAACTTCTGACAATTTTGCAATTTCGAACTTGTCCTCTGCTTCTACTGTTTCTTCCCTCATAAAAATATCTCCATATACCACAACATCCCGACCTGAAAGAGGAAAAGCACTAGGCTTTTCTATGGAGACCGAGTCTAGCTCTCCAGTCCTCCTTCTAGCTTTCCCAGCAGCAGGTCCTTGCTCAGTTCTGTCACAGTCACCAGACCACTTTTATGTTGCAAAAGTTAGGAGCACTTTTCCCAAGCCTGAGATCATGAATATGAATAATAGCTCTGGCTTTGCTTGGAAGCTTTGCTAAGATGAACTGTGGACACAGCCAGCCAAGGGATTTCTCCCACATCTCAGTATATGAACCAAGGCAGCCCATTTATAATAACAAGAAAATGCCAATACTATTTTAAATGAAAAAAAAAAACAGGATTCAAACATAATCTGTAAAGTAACACATATAAATGATGAGTAAGTCTTCAGTTAAGTTTCTTTTGCTTTCTGTATATGGGAGGAAAGGAGTTCAAATATGTTATAATGACTTGAACAACAAAGGTGGGGCTTAATTTTTAGGAACTACAATGCCAAGCGTATTTGTACAGGCCTGTAATCCTAGCTACTTGTGAAGCTGAGGCAGGAGGATCACTTGAGCCCAAGAATTTGATAGAAGCTGAGAAAGAGCCCCTTGGCTGGCTCAAAACCAAAAAACAGACAATACTTCACTAGTTCCACTCCTTCCATAAACCTGAGAGCTTGTAGTTACACTGAAATTTCATTTCTAGTGCTGAGTAATTTGCTGTTTGATCTACCAGCAAGAGATTTTTCTTTTTCTTTTTTTTTTTTTACCTTCACTCTCCCTCTCCCTCTTTTCCTCCATCCCTCCTTTTCCCTCCCCTTTCTCCCCCTCTTTCTCTCTCGACTCCTTTATACATTTTACAGCATTATAAACATTTTTGTTTCAGAGACACAAAAGATGCTGATAACCAATTACAGGAGTGGCATATTCCTCCTGAATAGGAATGGTATTATGTAATTAACAGAGTCTTCCACACACAGCACTTGAAGCAAACCTCTTTAATAGCTGAAGCAATCACTAGCAATGTATTTCAGAAATCATTTTTGATACTAAAAGAAACCAGTGCTGTGTTTTTAAGGAATAGAGGAGCTGTAAGTCTTCATCAGTAAATGGGGAGCTTTTCCTTAATGTGCATGAGGCCCAAGACTCCCGTCCTCCACAGGAACCACTGGGAAGCTGCTTCCCATGAAAAAGTGGAGCATTTCCAACTCCAGTGTTCTGTCTGCTTCACATTTTTTCCTCAATGAAATAGGACAATTAATAAAGTCTGGTTACAGTACAAGCCCAAGTTTCAGCAGAAGCAATATTATCTTTGGATTTGGATTGAGGGACACAAGTTATCCAAACACAGTTCAACTCTCAGAAAGCTGGCCATTTGGAAAGT